GCAATGCACCCAATCTGACTTGGCTCACTGGTCATTTAAAAGTCACAATTTATGAGTTTCTCTTCCTACCTTTCCATGATTTCATCTTTCAAATACAGTAGTTCTCCTTCACTGCTCTGAAGGAAATCTTCATGTTTTACCTATCCATTTCCTGAAACTTGATCCCCATTTCAGGAAATGCAGTCAGGTCAATTTGACTCTTTTCAGGAGGTTGCAGAGGAGGTGTTAAATCTCCCCATGTCCTAGTAAGAAAATTCATGAAACACAACTCCGGCACTTTCTCTAACAATCTCGGCTTCAGCTCCCCAGATTTAATTCTCAGTTTGGCATTTTTCTCACTGTGTGACCCAACTAAAGTCAATTAACCTCTCCATTTCCCATCCGGTTTTAATGATACATTTGTGCAGGAAGCTTGATACTCCCAAGGCAGAAGAGGCATGCATGCAAAAGCACCCAGGCTTCTCTAAACAACTGCACAGCCCATCTCAGTCCTGCTCCACACGCCTGCCTAATTCAAAAGCTGCATTTTCACGGGCTCCCCGGCCTCCCACATTTTATTAGTGTGGGGTAATGCACTTTTTTATATAAAGCTTTGACAAAAGATCTACTATGGAGTGAGACAAGGCTGCTAAATTCTATTTATGTTCCCCAGTGAGGTTTTGGAGTCATTTACTTTGAGCAAAGAACAAATAAATTAACCCACTGTACTAAAGATCTATTTTTTATTTCTGCAGTTCTTGATAAAGCTTCTAAGTGGTAAAATGGATAATATTATCAATTTCATTTTGTAGAGGATGAGGGAGTCACATCTGTGTGTAGCATTAACCACTGGAAAAAAAGGACATTTCACATACCAGAATGAGTCCAAGGCTGGCCAGATCTCCAGCATAAACACAGTGATGCAAGCATGGTTGATGAAAGCAGTCTCCAGCCAGTGGTGAGACGGATGAGTTCATGGGTGATATTTGAAACAATTACCCATTCACATATATGGTTGCCACTAGTCGCCCCCTCCACATGCCCATCACGCCCTCTGTCCTTGTTAAGAGACCTCTGGCTTTGGCTGGGGACACCATGGACAGCTCCAAACAAGGGGCAGAAAGAGGATCAGTCTAAAACAACCAAAGATGTTCTAGTTCTCTTTGGAAGATACTTGATTTTTAATGCCACTTATAATTTTCACTGGCCATATAACCCAGTTATGAGCAGTAAAATGTAACAGGACCTGTTGGGGATTTTTAAGAACTATTGTTACCACTATGTTAAACAGAAGGGACAGGACCAGCTGTCCTTGCCTTGTATGCAGACTCGGTACCACAGTAGGCAGAGCTGTGACAGGGAGGAGAGTGGTCCAACACCAGCTTCAAGACCAAATAACCCCATCAGTGACTGGCACAGCACAGGACATTGGTGCAGTAGTGGCGCTTTTGTCTTGGGGGCAATCAACATCTACCTAACTGAACTAAAAGCCCACTCAATGGGAGGAAACTCATGTGTGGTACAGTAAACATAGCCAAACATACATGGCTGGAGAGGTCATAGATCTTAGCAAAAACCCCAAGACTGTCATATTCCTAGACTAATGTAATGTTTTACTATGTGAAAAGTATGTATCCTTATATTTACAGACAAATATCCCACTCATCACTCATCAAAGAAGCTCTTTTTGCACCAGAGACTATTATAGAGTTCCACAACTGGTCACACACAGACATAAGCTATGGATTGCCCAAGCCTAAGTGGCACATCTACAATGCAACTTCTACACCCTAAGGCTCACAGAACATAGAATAAGGGGTAAAGAGGGCACTAATAAATATCTTAATTCTCATTAATGAAGCTCCATCATGCAACAGAGGACCAGGAACACAAAAGGTTACAAATGGCCAAAGCATACAAATTAAGAGTCTGCACATGCTGGTCCTTGGACAGGACTCTTTTATTAATCTTCATCCACCCAGGGCTCAGGGACCATTTTGGAAGGGGGCATGGCAGAAAGATTATAAGAGCCAGGGAGGAGATGCCTGACCATATGGAAATAGAGTCCTACAAGCTCCTAGGACCCTGTTCACATGAACCTACAGCAATGGTGTCAGCACGCACAAGACCCATGCAAACTCAAGCAGACAAAACCCAGCACAGAACTGTGGACATGGGCAACAAGCCCCAATCTTAGTTGAAGAAGAATTGGTAGCTGATTACTTCCGGGTGAGGAAGAGCTGATCTTCTTAAAGGGAGTGACTCTAGACAGGTTGAGTAGACCTCAATAGATGAACTTGCACTGACAGACATCTAGGGACACTAACGTGACACAGGCCTTAACACAAATGACAGGGTGTATGAATTCCAGTGGGGAGAGGTATGGGAGGGTGGAAGGGGGTATAAAGTTGATTAAGAGTGATTGAGATGTTCTGTATAAAATACACAAATTCAAGAAAAAAAATTTAATTAAAAAAGCAGCCTAGCTGGTGACTAAGATGACAGCTATGCCCTTATGAGGTCACCTCTATTGTCCTTATGAGGTCACCTCTGTTAGCAGTTCTACCAATGCCAGTAGGCAGCCTTCTGGACCAAAAAACAAAGCAGCCCAGTTTTTAAAAAGAATGCATACAACTGTAATTTAAAAATGAAAGATCTGAAAACTTTTCTTTAGAGAATACTGCTCTTTTACACTTTATAACTATCTGGAGGTTTTGACTTGTCAAAACATTCCAGGTAATTTTGATAAATATTTCTGTTATAAATGTTTTAAATGTATTCTACTACAAAAGGAATAAAATTCTAAAGCACTCAACTAATTTTCAGTTAGATAAGTAGCCACAGCCAGTACTGATAGACTATCCAAAGCAAAGAGCATAAACATCACGCACCTCACTGTAATAGTGATTGATCTATACAAAGATTAGAAAAAAGACACTAATCAAATATGCTGAGTGACAGATAGGTAAAATGCTGAGCTTGGATTCTGGTTTATTGTAAATAATAAATCACAGTTATAATATGCATACTTTATAATTTTATAATACACACATATATAAAGAGACCAAATGTGACAATGAACTTAACTCATCTATTTTTTTTTCTGATTATATGATTTAAATTTCATGCTGTCAGCCTTGAGAATTTCGGCTAGCAGCACAGGTCAGAAGCTCAGCTGGGTATAAAAGCAAAACATGTGAGACTAACACTGGGCGTGGTGGCATGTGCCTTTAATCCCAGCCCTCGGGAACAGAGGCAGGTGGTTCTCTGCCAGGTGGTTCTCTGCGAGATCAGTCATCCAGGTGGACTGTGACTAGGGAGACCCTGTCAAACAACAACGACAACAAACTTGTGAGACTTCATAGCACAGCAGAGGCCTGGTAAGTGGTAGTGTGGTGAGGTGGTACTCCCTTCTCCAGAAGCGTCTCCAGGCTATGTTTGGGCAGAGATTTTAAAGGAACGGTTAGGATATTTGCAACTGCAAAGAGGGCATTCTTTTACTCTTTCCTTTCCTTAGATTTATAAAAGTAAACTCATTACCTAAAAGGAGGAAAAAGAAGAACAGGAGGAGGAGGAGTTGGAGGAGTTGGAGGAGGAGAAGGGGGAGGAGGAGGAGGTATCTGTATTAAAAGTTAATGAACTGTCAACCTTGACAACATTTCTGGATGTTTGGATTAACTGAACTCACTCCACCTAACAATAAGACAAAAGAAAATTTTAGTTGTGAAATACTGGGCATGTAACAAAGCTGTCAGTGTAAAGACATCCACGGCAGTGCAGAGAAACAGGAAATTGGCTTAAGTTGCTTACAGCTTAGCTGGTAACATTTTGCTAATTTCTTAAATGGTTTTATATTTATATATAACATTTTACTTATTTAAATAGGCAATAGCTTATTTTGTTTATTTTACATTTTTTGCTTATAAATTCTGTTAAATGTTCTTAGTGATGAAATTATAGCAAAGACGGAAATAATTACTTTTCAATTTACAGCATCTTACTGACAGGGTCCTTTATCTTTCGAGGACCCTGGAACTGAAGTTATGGGTGGTTATTAGCCGCCATGTGGGTGCTTGGAATTGAACCCAGGTCCTCTGTGAGAGCAGTTAGTGCTCCCAGTGGCTGAGCCATCTCTCCAGCCCCTTTGCAGTCTCAGTGTGGGCAATGCTCCAGCTGTGCCTCCTTACCACACAGAGTCCAATGAGCTTCATGATGACCTACCTTGCCTGCTCTCTACCCCGTGTGCTTTGTCCCCTCTATGTTCTGCTTAACCTTCGTCTTTCCCACCAGAGCCTCAGTGAGACATTGGAAAACCTACTGAGAGCCATTAAAGCAATCCAAAGCTGTCCTGAAGATTCAAGTCTTCCAGCAGATAAACTAGCTGTGTTGTGTCCCTTCTGCATATGTCCTGTGGCCATTTGTAGGAACTGGTTCTACTTAGGGTGCTGAAAAATCTCCAAAAAAATTGATTCTCCAAATGGCTAGTTTGCCAGGTACAATAAGGTATTCAAAGTTTATTTGATTCTTTATAAAGTGTAAGCTGTGAGCTATGGGCTCTGAGCTCGTCAGGTCTCTAGGTCCACCACGTAGCCTGTGTGGTTTTCTCTCCGTATTTCCCCTTGAGAGGCCACCGAAAGGTACTGAGCTAAGGGTGGAGGAGAGCACAGCCAAACATGGAAGGAGGCAGAGGGCAGAAGACAGCTGAAGCCAGGAGGAAGCTCAGGCAGGAGCCTGTGGGTGAGAGGCAGAGGCAAGCCCAGCGCTGCCCAGCCGCTCCACTGCAGATGCCTGCCCTGCATGTGCTCAGCTGCTAGGAGCGTGCAGCTGCCAAGAAAGGAAGCCACGGGCCGACAGCTTCTTCCTAGGCCTCAGAGCGCAACACGTAGCAACACAGAAGCCAGGCCGTGGTTACCGCATACCACTGGGGCATCCACAACATGTCCTGGGGGACTTGAAGCCCAAGCAGTACCTTGTAGAGACTCTTCATTATACTTCAGAAACTGAGATACCTGATGACCAAAATGACAAAGAGCACAGAGGGGAGAAACCCACACTTGGGCAGAAACATCTGATGCTACAATTTGAAAGTAAGCTTAGATATATTCCAAGAGTTTAATTCATTACGAAGATGGGAGGGCAGCTTTCCAAGCAAGCAGACTCCTGGCGAACAATTAATCTGTAACAAATATTAAGTTTAGAATGATTATACATTTAGACTATATTTCTTAATAAATTTTTTCACATAAATTGTGCCTAATCTATAAACCGATTTTAAACAAAATCCATCATGCCAGGCACTTTGCATCTTTCTCTATTTATTGCTCCATTTCTCATCAGAAGCCTTTTAGCTTTAATGCTATTCTGAGGCAGACTATCTCATTAGAGTGGCAAAGACAAAGTTCTTTTTGAGATAAAGTAATTAAAGTGATTGTAGGGGAAAATATCATCCAAACTTCTTGGCTGCAGCAATCTCCTGGTTTCTTATTAATTTTAAGACTAACAAACGAGTTCAAACAAAGCTATGGTCATAGTGGATAATTCCAGTGATGCAAAGTGGGTGCTGGGGAGATTTGTACTGTGTAGCCTATATCAGAATGAAGGTCTGTCCAGAAGGGCTCTGCTCCAGGGCAAATATTCCAGGGCCACAAGGCCACGCTCTCTCACCTCACTCCTCCAAGTGCTCTATCCTCTTAAGTGTTATTAAATTAAACTTATTTGACTCTAGGAATACCTTGTGCATATCTGAAGTCTATTTCCAGTTAGATGAGCCTGTTTCTTCCTCTCACACGATGCTTTTTCTAGAGGAGGACCAGATCACCTAGATATGGGCAATGCCCAGGGTAACGATGGGAGGGGGCAGTGCACCTTGCCTGCACTGGGAAGAGACCCCTGTCAGGGTTAGTGCAGCATACAGGGGATGGTGAAGAGCCCACAGAACAGCATCTACTCTAACTAAACTCACCAGGCCTGTCAAAGAGTTCAAGGTCATAAAGTGTCTCAGACTACTTTTGTTGGCCTGAGCAGGTGCTAGGGAAATCTTTGAAAGAACGGCGTGAGTCACTTTAAATTACCATTTAACTGCTCAGGAACACAATCAGAAACAATAGCGCTGTGCAGGGCCACCCCTGCTGTGCACACCCCTGTCTCATTTCTGCATGGACCTAAGTGGGCAATCTTTGAAGAGGCGGCTGAGAAATTGAAAGCTTGCCATGTTTTTTCAATCAGCTGTGCTCACTATTTTCCAGCAAGTACTTGCATTTCTGAAGGATAGCTCCATGTAGTTGAAACCCTGGTCAAGGTCACCATGAAATGAAAAGGATATTTTGATTTGGAAATGGAAGGGAACCTGGTGTGTGAGCTGATTCTCAACTCACCCGCAAGGTCGTGTCAAAGCATCGGAGCCCATTTTCCCTTCAGTACAAAAATGGCCAATGTCCATCCTCCGCAAGTACTTGCATTTCTGAAGGATAGCTCCATGTAGTTGAAACCCTGGTCAAGGTCACCATGAAATGAAAAGGATATTTTGATTTGGAAATGGAAGGGAACCTGGTGTGTGAGCTGATTCTCAACTCACCCGCAAGGTCATGTCAAAGCATCGGAGCCCATTTTCCCTTCAGTGCAAAAATGGCCAATGTCCATCCTCTTTGCCAGTTTAAGGACAACACATTTAATGTGGAATGTGGTTTAAACTGAAGCATCATGTATGCAAGCTATTACTGTTACATGCCCAAGTTAGTGATCACTGTTACATGCCCAATTTAAGTAGAATTGAAGACATATTGGTAGTGTGAATGGGCGTCTAAAAAGAAACAAATGTAGAGGTGACCACAAAGAGGTGCACGATACACAGAGCTTTTTACAGACTGATTTCTCTAGACAAGGAAAAATGAAACCGCAGGTTCAGAAGGAACTCAGGTGGCTGAAATGATCCTATTTTTTCTTTTTCTGTAAAAATGTCTTGCAGATATTCTTAAATCGCACGCCACTCCTCAGTAACTAGTCACCTACAGATGATCCCATATTCTCTTTTTTCATAAACAGAGAAAATTGTATAAGCTATTGATTTTTACAAAGCACTGAAAAATGAAACCTGAGTTGCATCTTCTCTATATAGAAATCAGCCCGTGGCCAAATCCTGGACCCGTTCCATCTCTGCCACACTTAAGCCTGCAGGCCGATCTGTAGCTCCACGGGCCAGCTTCTCCCCAGAGCTGTTCTCTGAAGAGACTATTGAGTGTGTAGCTTTGCTACGTGAACCGTCATTTCAATAACAACATTGAAACGTCTGATCCTCCCTGCTATGTGCCAGCGACGCTACATCTAGTAACTGCTGAAATACAGAGAAGGAAAATTATCTTTCAACTACCTTCTTTCCATCTCCCCTAAATCCCTAACAATATTTTTTCCAAGAGTATTTTCAGTGATGGTTAAGTACAAGGAAAGTGGTCAGATAATGGGACATTGATTACTGGATTTGTACAGTAAGCAATCTATCCTAGAGAAGGCTAGGGCTTTGGGAAAAAAGCAGATGTCCTCTCCACTCCCAGTTCCAGTATTTGTCAACTGTGTCTTTGGGCTCTTTCCTCATCTCACGAAATTTCTTAATTACAATCACTTTGCAAGTTTGTCAGAAAAATAAGAGAAACGTATAGATACAAAAATATAAATGTAAGGAAGGAAATCGACATATTATACACAGAATCCTTACAGGATTGTAAAGTATCAGGCAGGATTTCTAAAGGGTGTGGATCTATAGATTCAACGTGTAAAAAGTAAACAGATGCAATATTCAGGGTTATCTACTTTGAGCCCCACTACAGGACACAGTGCAAGAGGATGAGGATAAACCAGGGACCTATCCGATCACAGGAGGCGCACAAACTGCAATATCAACAGGCTATGGAATATCTGCACAGAGCATTAAACAGGAGATGAATGGGATCCTCAATCGTGCAGCTAAGTTTCACCTCTCAGGACAGGTAATGGCTAGAGAAGAAGCCAGTCAACTCTAGGACACATCCTAAGACAGGGGCCAATGACACACAGAATAGCAAACAGTGTGAGAATCGAAGCTGTGCTGGGGACAGACAGATACCTTGGGTGGTCCTGAGGAAAGCATGTGAGAAGGGCGGGAACCAGGACCTTTGCCTAACACCAGATCATCTCTCTTCGGAATGGTCCAGGAGAACAGGCTGCTGGGACTTCATGCGGAGTGATGCCCTGAGTTGGGAATGGGTTCACCTCTGAACGACTGAGGTAGAGGGAACGAAGGCTTCTGCTTCTTTGGAAGGAGCTGGCCAAAGTCTGGCTTTTCACATCAATGCAAATAAACATATACACACACATATAAGTCTATAGATTAATGATCACAGAATCATGATAATAGAGGGGTTAGCGTTTCCAAATATGTCCTGGATACTGTTCTAAGTACTTTATATATGACATAATCTTCCTATCAATCAAGAAACAGATACTATTAAAATGGTGAACAGTTGCCCCCAAGTTGACACAGAAGTAAGGAATGTGGGGTGACTGTAGGGTGACTCTGGCCCCACGGCCATTTTTCTAATCACATAGCACACTGCTTCTCTTAATTTTTCCAGGCTCTGCTAAGCACCTAGTACAATACATGCCATCAAGTCCCCACCACACTCTGGCTGGATGTGTCCAGACATGCTGCAGGGTTTCTGCTAGTGTTTATTTATGTTGGGGAGGGGGTGCTTCTTTGTTTTATTTTCTACCCACCCCCCAGAACATATTTTCAAGTGAAAAATTTCACATGAAATTCCAGATTCACGATTTCTCTCAATTAAAAAAAAAATTACAGCCATAGTGAGTCTCACCCTACAGTTTTGCCAATGACTGGTCAGTGCCATAGTCTGGACAGGGGGCTTATCCTCTCCCTGCCCCAAGATCTGCCCCCCTTGCTCTTGTTACCCATATCTAACTTCATATTTATCACCTGCCTGAACACTGTACGTGTTTTAAACGTGTGACCCTTAGTGTATGTATGTACATTTGTGTGGAAAAAAGCTAAAAAAAAAAAGCAAAAGAAAATCCTCAGAGCGTACCAGCCTAGATGAAGCCTGTCCAGATTCAAACTCCCGTTCCACAGGCTGTGGTTTTCTTGGATAAATGCCTGAATCTCTTTAAGCCCTGGTCTTCTCAACTGAAAAATAAGATTAGTAGCAGCATTTAACTCAGGGTACTGTTACGAAATCAACGAGGTAACACAGGGAAAGAATGAACTGATCATGCAGTTTGCATTAAGACAGTCCCAAAAGTTGGGACATCACCACTGGGAGCCATCAGGAAGAGCACAGAACAAAGAGGCTGGTGCTGTGTAGAGAAAGGAGATAGAGAGGGCAGGGGAAGAGTCACGTGTGCTGGACCCCAGCCAGCTCATTACCAGGAGCACTGTTCCAATGAAAACTCCAGAAGGCCGTTTACCACAGCTGCTTATGACAAAAAGATCTATCTTCTCAGTGGACTACCCTCCATAGCTAAAGTGTAACCTGGGAGAATGGGAGAACGTTGAGTAACAGGCTTTGAGGCAAAGGATTCATAATATCTCCTTATTTGGTGTATCCTTCAAAGTCTTTAAGAACACCCTGGTATCCCTGTTCATGAAGATTTTCCTTGTCTCCTCTCTGCCTGTCCAGCACTTGTGCTTTTACGCCTCCCTGTACCCTCACGGTCTGACTGGACAACCCAAATGCCACCTCCACCTCCATGCCCTCGTCACAGTCTGCCATTGAGGCATCATGTGGAACCCCTGTAACAGCTGCCTCCATTTCATGTCAGAGTGAGTCCATTCCTTATAAAAAGCAGGTTCCAGGCTGCCTTTCTGAGGCCTGGGCTGGAAAAAAAATGGAGAATTGCCGATTGCCTTGTACTACCTAAACTTAGAGAATGGAAAGAAATCCAGGAGGCAAAGTTGCATTTCACATGAAAATGCAAGTGTCTTCAGCAACTCCAGTCCTTAGAAGGGTGCTAGACTTTCAACACAATGACACAGGATCATAGACATGGTGACGCAGCTCTGCAGAGATACATACACTCATTTCCTGAGCAGTGACCATCCCCTCAGGACACTGCACTTGCTTCCTTACCTGGGCCAAGGTGAGGGTCGCTTGTTTGCAGGTGCCGCACTGAACTCGGAGCTTTCCCGGCTGGACCCTGTGACAGGGGCCTTTACAGTAGACATAGAAGCTGTTGTAGGTTGGTTTAACTGCTGGGGGAAAGCAGAGAGGAACCCAGTCAGTGCTATATCCAGACTGACACAGGAAACCCTCTCTGAAAGCTTGTTAGAGGTCAGCTGAAAAACCACCTCCTGGGGAGCTTTTCGTGAAGTAAGTGGAATAGAATATTCCAATGAGCATGTAACAACTTCGAGAATTTAGTTCTATGCTCAAAAGACTGAGTCTTTTCTTTTTTTCTTGCCAAGAACCCTGCGCCTTGCTCAGCAGAGTAAACAGCCGGCCGCCAAGAGCTCTGGCCAAGTGCGTTTGCAACACCAGGAAATTAAAGGTGGTCTTCACTGGCGAAATTTGGAGAGGACGGGGAACAGAGATCCACTGCTCCTGAGCTCTGTTTCACGCCTCTGAACACAGGGGTGAAGACTCCACTTCTTTTCCTCTTAGAATCTTGTCTGTAGACAGCCAGCACTTTCCTCACAATCTAAATGACAGATCACAGTTTGTGGGTTTCTACCTGCAAAATGGTCACACATAAAATGAGCGTCCTGAGCCCCGTGGAGCTTAACAGATCCAACAGCTGTGTGCAGAAATGCACACGTTGCACTCCATTAATGGTCCCTCTAGCTGGACGAAGTTCACTCCCTCAAATAGCATAGTCTCAAGAGTAAAAGGTGAACGTTAAAAAAATCTAAGGGGTCAACAATGTCCCTGATAATTTCTCCCAAGTGTCAATTTACTCACTCTTCAAGGGAAACTTTCTGGATGGTTTTACACTTTCATGTCTGAAAAGAACTATAGATGCCCTTGGGTACTGTGCTGGATAGGGTTAGTGATCAACTTGACACACCTGGTTAGAAAGAACCTCAGCTGAGGAACTGCCTTCATTGGTGGCCTGTGGCCATGTCTGTGGGGCATTTTCTTGACGGTTGAGTGATGTGGGAGGGCCCAGCCCACTGTGGGCGGTGCCACCGCTGGGCAGGTGGTTCTGTGCTCTTTATAAGAAAGCAGGTTGAGCACCGGCCAGAGCAGCAACCCAGTAAGCAGTGTTCCTCCATGGTCTGTGCTCCAGGTTCCTGCCCTGGGTTCCTGCCCTGTCTTCCCTTGGTGATGAACTGTGCTGTAAGCCAAATAAACCCTTTCCTCCCCAAGTTGGTTTTGGTCAATGTTTTTACCACAGTAATAGAAAACTATCTAAGACAGGTACAATAACCACCTTTCTAGATTTCTAAGTTTCCAAAATTTCTTAATAATTATTTCTTTCAATTATTACCTTGTTGCTGGGGGTGGGGCACAAAATGTCATGACAAAAAATCTGTTTAAATGTTTAATTCTATAACCAGAAGCGAGAACAATCATTTTTACGATTACAAAAAACTTTCAACCCCTCAAATGCATATAGTCTGATGGAAACAGTGTGAATACAATGAGAAAACAGAAGATCTCACACCCTTATGCCTCACAAATTACAGAAGGGGCCTTGGGAGACATTTTAGATGGCTGTGGGTTTACTCATCTTTCCTAACACTTTATAAAACTTTGTAAAAATGTAAGATACATTAAAAAACATTGTGATTT